ACTTCGGAGGAGCTTTCGAAATCCACCAAGACCCTTTTGACATCAAAGTCGCCAATCCTCAAAGTTAGGATCAAGGCATCCTCGTGAGGGAGGACCACGCCTGCTAGCTCGGCATCGGAGAAAATGATATCACCTTTGTTAATCCGGGGCTTTTTGCTCAACTGGCTCCCTTTGGTCTCGTCTACTTTCCTTGTGAAAACTATCTTTTTTAGATTAGACCTTGGTGTTTTAGACGTCGGACGCTCTAGTGGGCAGACATGGATGACGTCAGTTACGTTGCCTCGGACGGCAGTTTGATTATTGGTGTTGTGGTCCTCCCTTGGGGCTGGTTCCTCGATGTATTCCTTCAAATGCCCTTCCTGCATCAACTATTCCAAAAAAGACTTATAGACCCTACAATCTTCAGTGAGGTGCCCAAAGTCCTGATGGTACGAGCATTTCACTTTTTTGATTCTGAGTGGAAGGATCACCTTGCATCTTGGGCGGCTATTTAAAGAATGATTCCTTCTTAATTTTGTGGAGCAACTTGTAGATGGGCTTCTTGAACACGGTGTGGACCCCTTTGAAGGAATTTCCTGTCGAGGGGCATTAACCCCTTTTGGGAGGGGGCGCCCCCGGTCTCTTTTTCCTTGTTCCTTAGGGCGACCATCTTCCCTTTGCCCCCTATCACCTCGTTCTCGATACGAGAATACTTGTTTATCGGGGCCATCAGTTCTCCCATATCGGTTGACGTTTTCTTGGTTAAGGACCGATAAAGATTGGTTTCTCGAGAGAGGCCAATCCTGAAGAAGGAGACCATCATGACTTTAGAACATCCTTTCACCTCGTTTACCTCCTCCCAATAACGAGCGGCGTACTGACGGAGGGTTTCTCCTTCCTTTCGCCTTAGTGTCAGCAGGGCCCCCACGTCCTTGGGTCGCCTACTCCCTATGATGAACCGGGTGAAGAATTGTCTTATCAGCTCTCTCCATAATCCTATATTGTTGGGTTGAAGGGACTCAAATCATTTCATGGCGGAGTCCCCCTGGCTCATTGAAAACATTTGGCATAAAAGTCGATAGTCCGAGTGATACAGAGACATCGTCTGCTTGTATTGTCTGAGATGGGCTTCGGGGTCAGAACGTCTATCATAAGTTTTGAACATGGGCACCGTGAACTTTTTTGGTATCTCCATCTCCATAATACCTTTAGTAAAAGGGGACTGGATGGATTCATCATCGGTATCATCCTCCTGCAGGGCTTTATCTTTTCTCTTGAAATCCAATCGGACTCTGAGATCGTTCCCTTGCTCGGGGAGTGTCTCTTTGTGTGTTCGACGCTAGATGGCATGATCCTGAATCTCATGCCGGATAGAGAGGGTCGACCCCTCCTCAGACTCTCCATGCCCCCTCGCCCGGACAGTCCCCGACAAAGGTCATCCCAAGTCAACGGCCTTGCTCGCTTGGCTGGAACCTCCGGGAGCTGTCCTTTGGCCTTCAGGGGCTTTGGAGCCCTAAAGCTTCCCGTTCTATTACTCAAGCAATTTCTCAGATCCTCAGGCTTTACCTCCCTGACGGAAGGCTCCTAGGACCGAAGCGAATTTCAGGATCCTCCGTCAGAGGCTGCAAACTCATCAAGGCGATTGAGGACATTCACATTGTCCTCCTCCAACTGCCATAACCGGTCCCCAAACTTTTCTTCGATCACCTCAACCAGTTGACGGGCTAGTGGGACGGATCCTCCAGACCTGATACCCATACTAGTCTGGTGGGTACGCTCCTTCGTATGAACGGTGAGCCCTTTTGTTGGCATTTTTGACGTAGTTCCTCATTTTTGAACAAGAAAGGGCTGGTAAACCGGTATTCCTTTGTTGAGGACTCTTCCCCTTTTGTCGAGTATTCACCATGGTCACTGTTCTTTGGAAAACTTAGCCGTTTTCCACAGAGGGTGTCAGATTATGCGTGCTGATTTTTGCACAATAGATAAAACTAGAACAGATCTCTCTCCACGGTGAGCTCCGACCCGCTGAGATGGTGGATTCAGCAACAAGGAATGAGTTGAGAGGGCCTAAGGATTGGTGATGAATTATTTTTGGTGCTGTCAAACCGATTCTGGTGGCTCACGAGGGATTCTTGGAACACAAAACACAGGTTAGAAAGGCGCCGGAGTGTTTTTCGACGTATCCCCTCCGACGATCAAGTCAGTTCTTTGAAAGAGGGGAAGAAGAAAACATTGTTTGGAGTTATTGAGAGATGATTTTGCGTACATTTGTAAAGTGTTTTTTAGGACTATTTATACCTTCACAGACTCATCATTACCGGTAGTCTAGACAGTAGGTAGCCTTTAGAGACGGGGCAGTGTGCCCCCTGTTTTCGCGTAGGGAATATTCCAGTATTAATTGCTCGGACTTCCGAGTAGTTAATACTCTTTCTTCGATGTGAAAGCTTTAAATGCTAGGGGCCCAGGTCATTTAACCCCCCATATCCATGGCTTCCCAAGTCCCTATGGATGTCATATCATTTTAGGATTCATTAAATACCTGTTTGGAATAGTCGCATATCAGTAGGGGTAATTCTATCTTTTTGCCCTTCATCTTGCACTTCATGCCACGCGTCTGACTCTCCATGGTTAAGTGTCCAGTTCATTCTGTCATTCTGACTCCTTTGAGCAGAGTGTCCTTCTGGCCCCTAATTTATTTTAGGTTGTTCATCTGTCAATCAATAGCCTTCTTAGGAGATGAGGGCCCAGGGAGGGGCCGGTGCGAGTACTCTCGGGGCCGAGGATATTTGACTCCTCCGTGGGTCTGAGGGACACATGTCTTGGAGCTGAGGGAACACGTCTTGAAGCTGAGGGAACTACCTTTGGAGCCCAGAATCTTGTCAGCCAAAGCAAAGGGGTCTTGGAAACCCGAGGACACGTGGCCTTGTCGGAGGCAATGAAGTATCTCGGCTTTGAGGACACGTGTCATCGACTAAAGCCTTTTTATAAATGTCCCATCAGAATTAATGTGAGAACTACGAAATCTAATGTATTTGATTTGTTCGCATCATTTTGTCATCGATCACAATTTGGGTCGGTTGATGAGTCACCCCAAAAAAAAAACAATAGTTAGTTTTATTGACTCAAAGAGAAGTTGAAAGAAAACGAGGTATGTGTCAATTTTCTATTAATTTGTGTGACATAAGTGAAGTTCATTATCAATTTTATATACATAACATACTAGACACTAAATTAAATATGCAAATTAAGTACATGTAGCATTCGACTAAGAAAATGCGATAGGAATATAGTTTTTATCCTTGATTTGTTTTTCCTTCCAACACCGAGAAGTTCTCACAATTTCTTCCACAGCCACGATATCCATGATGGAGATAAAAATAATGAATTTTAAAGACCCTACGAAAAAAATATTATTAAAGATAGTAGGTAGTGCTGTAGTGGGTACACAATGGCTCGGGGCACATATATGTTACAGCCTATAACAGCCTTGATTAAAGGTTCAAACATAAAACAGCTAAGTAGAACTAGGAACGACGTCGTAACCAAGTTTAGAATCAAGACCGTCCTGGGTCTTCCTGAACAGCTTATGCTGGATATGCTGAGCAAATGTCCGGGGCAGGAAGAGCGGTGGCTCGGCCTCGGAAACTGTCTCCGGCAGCGGCTTGAGGATGATCTTCTCCTTGGGTGGCTCACAGAAAACGGCCCAGGAGATCCTAACCTTCTCTTTGTTCACAAGCCCCCTGTGGAGTATACTCTTGTACTTGCCATTGCTCAGAATCTCAACGGTATCTCCGATGTGCATTATGATGGAATTAGGGACACATTTGGCGGTGATCCACTTGCCGGAGTAGAAGAGTTGCAGGCCGGGCACCATGTTGTGGAGGATGAAGGTGAGTGCACTCACATCAGTGTGCGCTTCGACTCCGAGAGCTAGTTCTGGTTGAGGGCATTTGGGGTAGTAGTTGATTTTCATTTGGAGAAACAGCTCTTCCATGCCGCCAACTTCTTTTTCTAGCCTTCCTTCTTCTAGTCCCAACCCGAGAGAGAGAACTGAAAGTATCTTGGTGGCTAGGCCTCTTAGTTGCTTTGCATACTCACTTGTTGCTGGACTGCGTGATGAGTGATGACGAGTTTAAACTCAGAAATCATTACGGATTATTAAAGCAAAAAGGTCTTGAATTAATACTATCACGGTCATGATTAGAAAACCTTGAGAACTTACATGTAGCCGCTTGGTGACTTGGGCCAAATAGACATGTCCCTCTTCTCCTCTGGGAACACACAGTGGAAGAAATAGTCTTCCCACTCCAGTTGACCACTAGCATTGTTTGCTAGCTTGCTGCCATAACCCTGGACATTGTCTGAAGCCGGGTCATTTGCATACTTCTCCTTCTCCTCCATTGGCTGATCAAAGAAGGCCGCTCCGGCTGCCTTGACCCGACCGATGAGTTCATCGGATATGCCATGGTTGACAAGGTGCATCACACCCCACTCAATGCTAGCATTCTTCAACTCTTCTCGACATCTATCTCGAATCTCAGTATCCTCCGAATCAATGTTTTGTAGATTAATGGTTGGTAACTGAAGCCCTTCGTCTTTCTTCTCTTCCTCGAATATGTTTCCGATGCCTGTGAGTTCTTCCTGAGGCCTCACATATTCTTTGGGGATTAATTGAATCCCACTGCTGGCCAAGCTTTCAACTCGGAGAGCCGTTGCATGCATCACACTTCTTTGTAGTGTAATTTCTCTTCTTTTCTTTCCTTTCTCTCTTTGAATTTTGAAACCCTGTTTTTAAAAGCAATACATATGCTCTATATGGCCAATTTTTGAGGGCTTTTATAGAAGTGTCTTAGAACTATATTATATTCAATGATAACAAATAAGTGGATGTGAGTTTTTGTAGAACTGAAAAGATGGTAGAGCTACCAACATAGATGTGTGTATGTGTGAGAAAGAGAGAGAGAGACTGACGTGATAAGCTGTTTACCACTCAAAAGTTGACGGACCGTAGAGACAAGAAGATGAAGTTTCCTTGGCTGATGGTTGAAGCACGAGGAACTCTAACGGTCAAGGTGGTCATGTTCTCGGGGGGGGGGAGAGTTTGGATGGCTGGATAAACCTGGATACACCGTGTTGAATTAGACAAATAAGCCATGGGTCTCATTTATCCTTACTTTGACAATATATTTTGAGGCCAGATATTCGTAACTTTTCAAAAAATTGTTTGCAGTGATTCAGCTCCTTTATCCCTCCCATTTGGACAAAAAAATCCCACCAAAACTTTGGGATTAAGCAGCAACCGACAGGATACATATGTATTTTTACCATTACACTCCTGTAAAGCAAAATAAGGTTTCTTTATCTTCTGCCATTTTCACTTGTCCCCATCTTAGAACGGCGCCAACTCCTTCCATTGGCAAGGTACTCTCTCTCTTTGTCTACATTGATTTATGTATATCGGTTGAGAGAAGTTGGTCTATATCGATGTATTGATTTGTGTCCTCTTGTGGGTTCATTTGCTGGGTGTTGCTCTCTGTCTCTATAGCTCTGTCTCTATGTAGCTTTGTATGGGTGTATTATGTGTTGGGTATTTTTTGGGGATAAATATGCTTTTTGTTCGTGTGAACTTGCCTTGTGCATTAATTTTAAGCACCCCGCAACGTTTCAGACATTAGCCATGGAGAAAGTCTAGGCTTCTGAATTTCATTGATGGGCTTTGATCAGCTTGTGGAGGAGAGAGACTCGTCGTCTTTACAACAAATTATGTGGACAAACTCGATCCGGCGCTCATTCGGAGGGGAAGAATGGAAAAGCACATTGAATTATCGTACTTTAGCTTTGAAGCATTCAAGGTTCTGACAAAGAATTATCTTAATCTTGAGACCCACCATCTGTTTGTGAAAATTCGTGAGTTGTTAGAGGAAATTAATATGTCCCTTTCGGATGTTGCGGAATATTTGATGCCCAAGACTATTCCTGGGGATGCAGAGACTTGCTTGGAGAGTTTGATCGGAGCTCGAGAAGGCCAAAGAGGAAGCAAAGCTGAAGACTGAGGAAGAAGCTAAAGCCAAAGAATCATCAACTAATGAAGTCATAGAGGGAGAGAAAGATGGAGAGAAAGAAAAGAACATCTGAAAAACAAACAGAGTAAGAAACAATCAATTGGAAAAGCAAATGAGAGCAAGCCATCATATGCAAAGGAATTAGATGGGAGTCATCAAATTTTGCTCGGGGTGGATATTTTAATTATGTACTCTAATTTTTTTCCTTCTAACCAATCACACTATATAACATATTTATATTTATTATATTATTTTTGATATATAAAGTCCATTTAACATAAAAATTTCCAAAAAAAAAATGTATATTGTCAGGGGCGGAGCCATGAATATCTATAATAGAGACAAAATATAACTGGTATAAAAAAATATTAAGCCAAAATTAATACAAAAAAATTCAGTTCAAGAATAAAAAAAAAGTAAGAATCAACACTAAATTATTGTGAAATAGTAAATTCAATTTTTATTTAGCCGAAACAAAATCTTAATAAAAAGACACAAAATAATTTTTTTAGTACATTTTAACCTAATTATATATTTCAATAAAATATAAAAAATTTTAAAATCTCTAAAAATTTTTGTATATGAATTAAATGTAAATTAATTTTCGTATTTTATTAGGTTATAAACTACTATTACTAAAAAAAATGGTAAATAAAAACTAAAAACTATTCTTAAAAAGTAACGAACATTGTGTTAGATAAAGAGAAATATTGTATTTTCATCAATATACAAATAAAACATTGACTCAATCCAAAACTAACATATTTATTTTAGAGGGTTAGTGGTTCACTAATTTATTAAAAAAAAAAGACTAAAACCATTATTAAAATTTTCAATAATTTAGGGGGTAAATATAATGTATAAAATAATTTTATAGGTTGGTGCAAGGAAGGACAAAAAAACTCAAGGAACTGAGCTTCTTGTGTGTTGAACTTTTCTCTATTTCTTCTCTTTTTCTTGTGGTTGGGCAGTGGGTAGCTTGAAGTGAGTGATTCAGAGAGAAAAAAAAAATATAAGATAAGATAGATTTTAGTCAAGTGGGCTAAAAGTTTTATTTTTTAATAGGTTTGGGTGGATTGTGATAGGTCAAATATTTGATTTTTTAATAAGTTTGAATAGATAATAGTGAGTTCAATTTTTTTTGTTTTAAATAGATTTAATTGTTTAATTATTTTGAGTAAATAATGTGGGTTTAATTTAAATCAGGGGCACACACAATATATATATGTATAAATATATAATTCATATATCTAACTAATAAAAAAAAAATTGAGGGGGGGCACGTGCCCAACCTGGCCCTACCTCCCTCCGCCCACGAGCAAAATTGAAAAATTAGTAGGATCTAATATTCTTGATTTTTTTTTAACTTTTTTATGTTTTTGGTAGATCAAATAATTTTGTGACCGTCTCCTTAAAATGTTTTCTAAGTGAAATGTGTAAAAGTTGAAAATGTACTATCCATAAGTACTCATACATTTTCACTTAAATATTAAAGTTGTAACCAACCTTTTGTAAGTCAAAAATGACATAGGATTGGATAAGATTTAAGAGTAAAATTGTTAATTAATGTCAAAATTATAGTTTATACATGGTCCCATCACATAAAAAATTACTAACCAACTTAAGGATTGAATTAACAAATTTGCTTTTATCCCACGAATTATTGAGATTTCGTTGGACTGATTTGAAATTTAAATAAAACCCAACCCAATCCATCGTTGAAAAGGTAGTAGAGCTACAAACATAGATGTGTGTGTGTATGTGTGTGAGAGAGAGAGTGAGACTGACGTGACAAGCTGTTTACCGGACTCAAAAGTCGGAGGACCGTAGAGACAAGAAGACGAAGGTTCCTTGGCTGATGGTTGAAGCAGGTGGAACTCTAACGGTCAAGGTGGTCATGTTCTCGGTGTATGAAAGAAGCTGAATAACCCCAAGTGGTTCAAACCGGTATTAGATAAGGAAATTTAAATTTTTTGAATTTGAATTTTGATAATTTATTGGGTCAAGTTATAAAAAATTTATTTTTTATGAATATCTTAATCCCATCACGGATAGTCTCTTTTGATTGAACTAGAGAAACAATTAATCTATTTATATATAAGTTGACCCGAATATTTTTTCATGTTGATCAAAAATATAAGAAAGAAGCTGAATTTCTAATCTGCCAATCATGCACGTGATATCTAACCAATCCATGCATTGAGTTTGCTCAACAATATGTTGGATTGCTTTATCAACCATTATTCTTAAGTTGAATTGTTGAATTACAGATGATCCACACTAGAATTTATTTTATTATAATTAGGCACTTCTCACTTCTTTTATTTTTATATTTGTTTCGTTTGGGTAACATTTTGAGTTTACATTTGCCACTGGGACATTTTTCACTCTGCAAAAGTTAAATGTAACAATAATACTTGTTATAATTAATATAAGACTTAATATGTTACAGTTATTGAATTGATAACAAATTTTGATAATGATGGAATTTTGTTATGGGCCGCCATAATCAAGAGGCTAATAGGATCAGAAGGCTTCTCCTTGCATAGTAGCCCAAATAGCTCACCCACATCCTGTTTACGCCAAGATTAGAATGGATCGCATCTAAAGAATAAAGCCCACAGTACCTGAAAGCTTGAAGTCTAGTCCAACCCCAATCCAACTCAGTTGGAGGTCAGCTCGGAATAAAAGAGCTTGGGCCATTGTCGATCCTGAAACCACTCCTGTCGTGCCACGTAATCTGAAGGCAGAGGGACCATTTTTGGCACCAATAACGAACTTGCCCTCTCTGCCACAAAGAATATTGGCGCACATAACGGCTTAAGGACCATGATTGCAATGGCGTCATATGAAAGAGGTCACTATAGGACGAAAGTGGAAGGGCCCACAAAATCATCAAAAAATAAGAAAGAGCTGCAAAAATGGACGTAACATTAGTCAATCGACTAAGGTGAACCATTTACATAGTGTCTTTACAATTTTGTCCATTTCCAACTCATCTTTCCATTCTATCCTCTCTCTGGGCTATCAAATTGTGGTTCTGGACTTGGGTTAATTTTTTCGAGCACCATCAAATTTTATTTAATGTTAAAATATATTATCAATTCAATGTTCATAATGTATTAGATTATCAAATTATGTGACAATAATATTTTTCTATTAATGTAATTCTAAGAAGTTTTCCTTAATAAAAACTATGCTTTTCTAGTGTGTGTGTGTGAGAGAGAGAGAGAGAGGGGGGGGGGGGGGGGGGGGAAGCCCCCCAATTTATATTTGTTATCTTCACCTATTACTAGGCTGAAGAAAAAATTTTAGACGTAAAAGACCAAATCATATACAATTTCCTAAAAAAAGTNGGGGGGGGGGGGGGGGGGGGGGGGGGTGGAACCAGCTAGAAGGAAATAAAATAGGACCCAAAGTCCATGGTCATATAAACCTAGCCCAGAGAAGTTCTACTCCAACTTCACAAACTCATTAACTTACCAAGTCCATTCGAACAGCCCACATGAATTTAAATCTCCTAAATTTGGATAGAACTTCAATATTCAAACCAAATACAATTTGTTTATTAAGTAGTTTATACGATATTACTCGATTAACTCGTTTAATAAATGAATCGGGTTAAGTAGAGTTGGGTTAACACGATAACTATGTTAACCCATTTTAACCCGCCGCCTGTTTGTCATTAAAAATGTTGTAATTCACTAAAAAATGTTATAACTACATATATTATTCTGACTAAATTTTTCAAAAAAATTATTAATTTTATTTAAATTGATAAATAGATGATAATTAGGTTGACATACCTCATTCGAACGCAACCTGTTTATTAAACGGGTTTAACGGGTATCGTTCGAACTTGATAAGGTCTCACTAAAACCCATTTAATTTCACATCGATTTGTGTCAATTAATTGGGCAGAACTTCAATATTGAACTCAATTCCGTAGGGTTTATTTTTTTTTTATATTTACACAATGGCCTAATGAAATTCTGTTCTATAGAGTTTTATCTTGCAAAATTTTTATCCTGTTAAGTTCAATATCATCCAAATTCATGGACATACCCGTCTGGTTCACGAATAAATATTTATAGTAACGATTATATCATATCAATATTACTATACGATATAATCGCCTAATAGCAAACAAAAAAGTGGGCAATGTGAATTCTATTTTTTATGTGGGGTGGTTACTATCTTTCATTGACGGTAGTTATTTAAAAAAGTAAGTTTATTTTTCCCATTTGTTCAATTATCATTAGACGGTTATATCATATGATAATGATGATATGATATAACCGTTATATTGAATATTTCAGCAAATACTTAAACTTCAAACATGGAAGTGTAGGGATGGTAGTGGATTAGGGCGGGGGCAGAGAAGTAATCTCCACCCCATATTTGCTTGAAAAATATTCGTCCACCTTTGGTCCATCCTCATTAGTAGAGAAAATTTTAATCCTCGTCCCTGCCTCATGGATAAATTTGATCTCCTTCCCCGTCCCCATCACCGTCTTCACCCGTAAAAATTAATTTATATGATTATAAAAAAAATTAAAAAAAATCCCCACAAATAGATGAAACATAAAACTCACCGAAGTAAAAGTAAAACAGAGAGAGAGAGAGAGAGTAAACTGTCTTTTTTTTGGTAAAGCGAAACGGCGTAGGTGAAATTTGTGATATTATATATATCTATAAAATAAAATAGTTAAGTGTTTGAAATTTTGTCCATACATATTTTCCACCCCAAAACCATCCAATCAAACATAATTTTTATTTCAGACATTATTCATACACGATAGTATACACATGTTAAGAAAATTTGTCGAATTACTTATTTTTGTTAATATATTTAAAATAATAATAGATAAAAATAAATTTTAAATGATGTAATCAAATAAATGAATATTATATATATACTACTAATAAAAATATTTTAATATGAAAAACTGTTGAATCTCTATTTTACGCTTATAAAAAATTACAAATACCACTCTATCCTTTCACAATTGAATATTTAAATTATTATTATATCCTTATGTATTTAAATCTTGAAATTATCTCTAACGTCGCTTTTAATTATTTATTCTCTAGGTCTAATTATTCAATTTCTATAAAACTTTTTGATTGATTATATTATCCTTACAAAAATATACATCATTATATTTTCAATAAAAGTGTTCAAAAAACCTTTAAAAGTTCTATCAATTTAATATTACTCATATCATATGTAAATATAATATTATGCCTACATATGTTTATTTTCTTTTTCATCTAAAAGTTCAATCATTTCATTTCTAAAATAAAAAATAATTGTATATATAGTTTTTTAAAATCAATTTATATTACATCAGTATAATTATTCACTCATAATAAACTTTCTAAACTATATTAAAATTTTATATGAAAATAGATATTGTAGTGTATTTTTAAGGAAAATTTGAATTTTTTAGAATTTTAATATTGTAGAATTTGAATTTTTTTTTTAGAATTTTTAAATAAAACTTGAAATTTTTAGATTTTTTAGAGTAGTATATTAAATATTATCTCAATTCACCTAACCAATTCCTAATTACAGTAAATTTCTAATATGATTTGTATATTAACAATTATTTTTATTTTATTCAAGAAATTATAAGTGAAATCCTAATAAAATAAATTTCAAAAAATTTAATTTCTCAAACATAAAAAAAAAAAAAAAATCAATCTCAATCATAGAATTTTTTAAAAAATAGAATTTTAACTATTTTTTTTGTTTTTGTTATAGCTAGAAGACATATAAGTTTTTATAATCCTATAATAAAATATGAACAATAAAAAATTAAGTTTGATAAATTTGAAATGATATTTAATTCAAATACACATATACTTAATATATTTTATTAATTTTTGTGTATGAAAATTATTCACATGTAATGCACATAATGCATTACTAGTATTAATAAATAAGTGAAATTTGTATTTTTGTGATATATATATCACGGGTTTAGCGGGACAGAGGTGGGGAGGAAATGAGTTTCAGTCTATACCGTATGAATTTATACAAGTATCTCATATATATTCACTATTTAATACATATGATCCCTCCCTAATTTAATCAGTACGAATTTAAATAAATACCCCTTTTTTCTCGTCGATTCCCATCCCTATGCAGGAGTAGGAGTAGTCCACCGATTTGAAATCGTTAAACGGTGGGCAAGGACTTTAGAGGAACATGTGGGCACCTAAACACGAAGACAACCCTCAAGAAATCTGTATAACAAAATAGAGCATAGAGTACAATAAGGGTTCATCTTTTCTATTTCTTTTTTTATATTTTGTTACACAAGCTGTTGAGGCTTATACAGATTATTTTTTAGACTTATGTGACTAACAACCGTGGCATGCTCTAAATCAGCTCAAGTCACGGTGATCAACCCCTAAACTAGAGGAAATAATCAATACAAACCTGAACACTCTGTGACCAAAAAAAAATTACAATAAATGTTCATATTACTTACATTAAACGACTCATCTTATGATTTATTTTTTAACGATAATAAATAATTTAATCACACTTATATTTTAACTTAATTGTTTATATTCTAATCACAGTAAATATTATAATCACTTATTCACAATGTAACTACAGTTTAAAAAAAAAAAAAAAGAGTGCATTGCACAGTACCCTAGTTGTCGCATATTACGGCTATAACCAGTCCAATAAGATGACATTATACTCGGACATGGTCACTGGGTTTCTTCTCATTATGGTCCCTCTCAAAGAGAAAACAACTTGGATGCCATCCTAGCTAGCAGGCGACCCACAGAGTGGTTAGAGTGGGGAACATGTTACCAAACACCAATAGAGTACTAAGCCCCATGAGGAGGACTATGCCTTCATTACATCCCCTTGAGCACGCCACTCCCTTTTCATTCCCTTTTGACATGAAATGTCATCATCATCCCTCATGCTCCAAATCATTCCTCCAACTTTGTCTGTCAACCCCCTCTTTATATATTCAATTTCAAGGCACCATACAATAAAAAAAAGAAGAAGATGTATTAGAGATTATTAAACCCCTCTATAGGTGTATGTAGTCTTGTGCCTAATCAATGGAAGTTTATTTGGTTTAAATTACACTTTTATTTTTATAAATAGACAAAATATCTTAACCTTTTGAGATATGGGAGTAATATTTACCTGATCTATTGGGTGGGAAGAACAATTATTTTTCTCGATTTAATAGTTACCTAGTCTCTTTTAATTGAAAGAACACTTATTTTCTAGATTAGGTAGTTTGTTTCCTTGGAAACCGTATGAGTTTGTCTCAATTTATTTTGTGTATCCTAATTATTTGATCAATAAAATCACTTTTACGGTTAAAAAAAAAAGTGAACACCAACTGGATTATCCTCGTGACATACTTATTTTGGGTCCCCCTCAAATACTAAGTTATGATTTAAGGTCGCAGTATTGGTTATGGACTCATAGAGCTCTGAGATATATTGATCATGATGTCGTGGAGTGATATCGGGCGATACAACCTAAAAAAAAATATTGAACATTATTAAAGATTTAGGTCATATTGTGGCTTTACGGAACCATATCGGCCGATTCGGTGATGATAACTCGACAATTGAAAACTGAGTCGTGCAAGACTCGAAGTATACACGTATTGTGCAATGGTATATCATTTTGGAATGTGCTAAACAGAATATAATTTGATCGATTCGTATCGATATCGACCGATACTTTGAATCGTTATATAAGTAGACCATATAGAACAAATCTCAGGACTATGGAGCATTGAGATAAAGAATTTTGTACAACAGCTTGTAGTGCAGAAATTTCACATCATGTGGGACTGGCTGTATACATGGATGTTAGAGTATGTGTGGCTCATATTTGCTGTGTGCATAATGGCAAGGAGGCAGATATTGGAGCGAAGCGGAGCCCGCGATGGCATCTGCCTTACGGGATTTATATAAAGGGGACACTGATTAGTAGGGGGTGCGGGGGCAACGCCCCCGCGGTACGGTACAGGGGTATTTTTGTAAATACGTCCATATTAGGGTTATATAAATACTTAAGATGTAACCCTATTCTATAATGGAAAAGAACGGCCGCTCGCTCTCGTGGATGTAGGCACATTGCCGAACCACGTAAATCTCTGTGTGTTATTTTCTCCTGCTTTCTTAATTGTTTGATTCTTTATTATTCACCATAATTGCTGCACGATCACAACAATGGAGATACATACATGTTCATTTTTGTACCCCAAAAAAAAAAAGGAGAGGAGAAAAACAGATGCATACCTGTAAATTAGATGCAAAACCAGCAGTATCTGGCCAAGTCATCCCCGCCTCCTCCAAAACCAACAGGTAGTCTTTTGACCTTAGCTTTAACAATTCACCTAAAAGTATATTCTCTCCCAACAGACAATAGAAACAGGACATAAACTTAGCTTTCTCTTTTCACTTCATGATGCAGGATTGCGTGAATTAAAAAATTAGACTAAATAATAGAAGGTATAATTTGTTGATTATTGTAATAATATCATATTAGAGCTTTTAAAAGTCTTGTTGATTTCGTAGAATACCAAGGCAATTGAAAAGAAAAGAGAACTTGTCTATAAATTTTTATTCAAATTAAAATCAAAACTCTTGAATTAGTTTTCGACACCATATAAAAATGAAATTATAATGGTCCTAAATTACTAGAAAAACCAAACAAATAAACAATATTATGAAAATACCCTAAACAACGGGATAAAATAGAAAAGTGCCCTAAACATCATATTTTTGCTTAAAAACGACGAGTTGAATGACACATTTTCATTCTTGTTCAGATTGTAAAAAGCTTTTCGAAATGAGGTATTTTGAAATTTTCTGGCACTATTGTCCAGAATCAGCCCTAATTGTGTAGTACTTCCCCTTCTATTCTTGACAGCTTCTTTGAGTCATTAATTTTTCCAAGCAGTCCAAACTTTCCTCTTTCTAACTCCAACCCATTTTGCATCCATTGGAAAGAAAAAGCTGGTTTAGTACAGTGTTCATAGAAACCAAGCTCTTCCTTTATTGTCCAAGTCCCAAAAGACCAGAAGAAACCATACTACATTTCCAACATACATCCTTCTTGTAAACCAATCTCTTGAGTTCCCAAATGGGCTCTCTCTTTCCTCTCACTTTGATGATTCTTTCACTGGCATCTTCAGCAGCTACTAAAGCTCAAGCTCAAGGTATCAAATCGGCTCGTCTTCTTGATCTTGTCATTAGAGATTACACATTCCAGTCGTACGACAAATACTTTGGGACAGGCAAATTACACACCTTGGATTTACCAGCAAACCTCTCGGGAATTAAGGTCGATACAGTAAGGTTTCGTTGTGGCAGTCTTCATCGATATGGTGCAAGAGTTAAAGAATTCAATTTGGATGTTGGTGTAACTGTGCACCCTTGTGTGGAGAGAGTCATGGTAGTTAGACAATACCTCGGATCAAACTGGTCATCTATATATTATGATAATTATGAATTATCAGGGTATCAACTTATTTCACCTGTTTTAGGCCTACTAGCTTACAATGCTGGTGACAATATAAACTTCAGTACCCCATTCGAGATTGGGATTCAAGCCGGAGAAAATCCCATTACCATTGATTTTAGCAGTACCGCAAGGGCTAACACCACATCAGGGATTATACCATTATGTGCTAGTTTTGATAGCGATGGCAAGGTAACATTGGCGAATCAAGTGTCACCGAATGTTTGTGCTGCAATGAGGCATGGCCATTTTGGATTGGTTGTTGAATCGCCGTTGTTGCCATTGAGGAAGAAAATTAGTACATGGAAGATGGCGGTTGGGACCTCAATTGGAGCTGCATTGGGAGCCTTTCTTCTAGGTCTGCTTTTGATTGCTTTGTTTGCTAGGGTGAAGAAGAAAGCAAGAATGGAGGAATTGGAGAGGAGGGCCTATGAAGAGGAAGCTCTACAAGTTTCCATGGTTGGGCATGTGAGGGCTCTTACTGCACCAGTCACCCGGACAGTGCCTTCAATTGAGCATGAGTATAGGCCTCCTCCTCCTTGAATTCCTCATATTTGTTCTTATTCTTTTTGTAACATTATCCGAAAATGAAAGAATTTGATAGTTTATAGATAGAAAAGTTGAGCAAATTTGCATAGGCTTCCAGTCCACACATGAATAGCTGATTATTTTCTGTAAAATTATCTATATTCTGTTCTTTTGAATCCAGGGAATGTTGAAATCAAAGGCACTTTTGCTTTGTGGATTTGGTTTCGAATTTATGTTTTGAGTACTAACACAGGTTCTCAGAAACACGAATCTTAGAAGGGTAAAAAAAAACAGTCAAGTGCACGAGACTCCCACCATTACTTGGCATATGAAAGACTGTTCCCATAACTCAGAAGAACACTGACCTTGATAGAGTTTGCACAAAACAGAACTCTCCTCAATGTCTTTTCTTTAATTCTATTTCTCCCACAATGCTGCAATTTGAAATCATACTCTTTCAGGCTACATAGACATAGAGAGAAGAACAAGGCCAAAGAAAGAGGACATTTATAAGGGAATGAATGACGCAAATGAGAATAGAATTGAAGCATCAATCAACCCAAAGTACAGGTCCTTCTAGGCTTCAAGATTGCCTGCAATGGATGCTGATGAATTAATATCGTGTGCAACCAAATTTGGAACACATTTTTTATTATTTATAAAGTAACTTCCCTAAAATTCAATACATTCCCACACTCCTAAGGGCTAGTCACCTTTGTCTTTTTAGGGACATGTTTTAATGTAACTCAAGTCACTGTACGGTGACCAGTTGCTAAGCTCGAGGAAATAGTCAGCGTAAGCCTAAATACCTTGTAGTAAACAAAAAATTGTAAACTTCTCTAAACCCAAAACCTAGTATGTGATAAACAAAACTCTCTATCTCCCCTCTCTCTCACTCTCTAATCAACAAAAACCATGATAGAACATAGCTGGCTCTCTTACTAGTTACTTCAGTGTATGACCCAGAGAAAAAGAGACAATATGATTTAGGAGAAGAGAAAATTATAGCTTCAGTGTCTTGGCTTTGAGTACACTCATAATTCATAAAACAGTTCAAGAGGAATGGTCTTTTCTTAATCGATCAATGAAGTGTTGCTGATCATAAGCTTTTGATGCCAACTTGCCACAGAAGTATTAACTAGAAAATTGCTTGACCAGCAAGAGCAATGAGAAGAGAGAGGAAGTTTTGCACATACTCATCCTAATTAGTTTTTGTTATATTTCATATATACCAGGTGGGTTTATATTGTGATTTGAGTTTTATGGATTTAAGTATTGAAAATAATTTTTAGTGTGGGATAAGGCAATTCTCCCTGATCCTGCAGCAATAAAAAATCTCATACATTTCACTTTTTTTTTTTTTTTT